TTCATGGTTTTGGCGTCCATTTCTACAGCGTTCATGCGAATGAATCGCCGCACGTCAAATTATTTACGGAAAGTTTAGCGGCGTAACGAGCCTTGATAATTTCGCTCAGGCGATTCAAGTGGTAAGACATTGCGATGAGAACGCAGAATCGACAACTCCAACGCGAAAAAGAGTATGCAGACTCACACAGACGCCTACAACGTGACATTCGAATGGTTTGTTGACGCGGGACGCGGTGCTTCTTGCCCGTACTCCATTGCGTGTGCGTTCGAACTGTCGTCTGCTCTTCAAACTTGGCTGCTTTTTGTCGTCAGCTCGTTAAAACGACAGCGGCCCGTAAACCAAACGTTGACCCGGTAATTGCGATAAGAACTAAGTGCAGGCCTCAAAACACATTTGAAGGTTGGTTCGGGTAAGTCGGCTAAGTATAAACAGACACAAGAAGTTGTTGATCATTGTTACCAGTGGCCATCACCGACTTGTAATGCCCGATTCTACTTGCGGTTTTCAGTATCGATGTCCACCATCTCAGCTACGGTCCACGCTTTTGCAGTCCGAGCGACGTCGCGACTGAAAATAGCGAGCAGAATCTCATCGTGGGAGTCAGGCTTTAGCGCCCATTCTGCGGCGTCCACGTGAAATGAATCGCCGCACATCACATTATTCACGCAAAGTTTTGCCTCGAAAGTTTTGCTGAAGCTGCTCAAGTAGTCAGACATTGTTAGGAGGACGTAGAATCAACAATTCCAACGCGAAAAAGAGCACGGGGACTCCCACCGACGCCGACAACAACGCAATTCAATGGTTTGTTTATGGGCGACGGCGGGCTTCTTGCCCACCATCCACCGCGCATGCGCGGCGCCGGTGGCGTCCGCTAGGGGCGCTCCGGTTTGTTTGTAAACATGAGTTGGTGTATAGGGTCTGAGCTGCGTTTGCACAGTTCGGCAACCGCACTCGCAACAGTAGTTTTGCCCTTCCCCGGGCGCACATAGGCTGAGCCGATGCATAGTGGATGTCCACCTACGACTACATGCGCTGCTATCAGTTCTAGATGTTCTGTGCACAGGTCACTTGTGTCAATCCTATGTTGGGGAAGCTTTTTTCGTATAAATAACGCCGCAGATCCGTGGGGAAATCCTTTGATTGTGAGATTTTTGTAGCATGTGTATCCGGAAATACTACCATTATTTGGTAGTCCTGCTTCACTAAATGCTAAGATTGGTATTTGGTAAGTTTGTAAATATAAGGACAGTGCCGCCAATCTTACTGGGAGGCTCGCACAGTTCCATTGCATTATTAATGGCACATTTCTTTGTTTAGGGGGCACTGTTGATTGATGTTTTAGATCCTGGGCCATAACTACATCCATTTTCGGATCATATCAGTAATTGTCACTTCTAAAACCATAATTCCTTGTAGTACCATTTTTAGATGGCCTGGAGGTAGTTGGGCAATGAAGCCTCGTATGGCAAAGAAAAGCAAACTTACTATGTCGTTGACATTTGATGTCCCAGGCAGATCAGTTTCTCTCTTTGTGTGTGGTGGGACATTTTCTGTCGCTCTACTGTAGAGGCGTCTACCCGTCGACGAAGCCCGGTGAGCTTGGGACACGTCGGGGTCTTGCGATTCTCTGGGTGGTAAGGGAGGAAACTCCTCCTCGAGTAGCGTCTGTTTCTCTGTTAGATTCTTACTGGCGCTGTTCGTTTTCCTATATTTTCGTCGCCCCTCCTGTGGTTTCATGCCAGATGTTGCTTGGCTGTCTGTAGGTTTTGACATCGCAACTGGCGCAACAGGTGATTTCTGCGATGCGGCCGTATCGTTGACCTCCACGGTCTCCACTGGCTTCAAAGCCTGTCGTGGTCCATTGACAAAAGCCTTGCTTCTTGCGAGTGCTCCGAGGCGCACTTTGCAGTTGACGTAGCTTGCGGGATGGTCCCCACCGCAGTTTCCACACTTCACGGGTTCTTCTCCCTTGCAGTCTTTGGTTGCGTGTGGTCCTGCGCACTTTTTGCACTTGACAGCGTTCTTGCAGTATTTGGCTATGTGTCCGAGTGCCTGGCAGTTGAAACATCGGGAGGGGGCTTCGACATAATCGCAGACCTCATGTATGGTGAACCCAAGGCTCACTCTTACTGGGCGCTCTGTGTTTGGCCGGAAAGTTAGAACAACTCGGTCAGTCGGTTTAGCCACTTCGCCAACCTTTGCGCGACGTTGGTAGAGTCGGCGGGCTGCGATCACACCAGCCGGTTCCAGGAATTCCGTTAGCTCGCTGTCTGAGTACCAATCAGGTACCCCTGTCACGAGGCCGTTGTTCCGCATGTACAGTGCTCAACGAAACGAAATGGGCCAGCGGAACGCGTGGCCTCCAGAACTTGCTGCGCCATCTACCGATAAAAGACGGGCTGCCTGGTGACGCGAGTCGCACATGAGCAAAACTGATACGAGCGCTCAGCGGCTGTTCGCACACAGGCGCGCAACCCCCGATAATCTGCGCAGGCCATGATTTTGCGGAGTGACCACGTTTATTTTTCCTCAGAGACACTGTCGTGATGATGTGCATGAGTTTATCTTGCTTCAAATATATAAAAAAGAAAAGATAAAGCTTCATTTTTTATTCCATAAAAGATTGATGAGCCAGCGCGTCCGGCCTTTTGCAGCTATAATATATTAATGCAGATAGTTTTATTTTTTCGTGGTTTTATTCAATTTTAGCGAGCGTCTGACAGTCATTAAAAAGCGTGTGCTGTGTCAACATAGTTTATTTGACATGTTACACAATGCTGCGCCTACCAGAAAAAAAATAATATAAGTAACGTGCTTGTTTTATTATCAGCACCTTACTCTAATATTTGCAGAACTCTCCATTGGCTTCACAAATAGCATTCATGCGACGCGGAAGGGATTCATAAAGATTCACCACCAACTCTGGACATTGCCGCAGCCTGTCCCATTCTTCCTTCACAGCATCCCATAGCTGGTCAGTCGTGACGGAGTGAAGTCCTCGCCGCGATAGCTGGATCTTCATGTTTCCCCAGATGTTCTCGATGGGGTTCATGTCAGCCCCTTTCGGGGGCCATGGCATAACCGCCACTCCGCGTTCCTCTAGAAGGTCACGCACACGATTTGACTGATGAACAGGACAAAGGTCATGTTGAAAAAAAAAGCATCCGTCAGGGAAAGGTCCCTCAAGAACGTAAGGAATGAGCTCGTGCTCAATGACGTCGCAATACGTTTCGGAGTTAAGCCTCTGGATTCTTACAAGTGGACCAAGTCCTTCCGCTGACAATGCCCCCCAGACGTTAACGGTTTGTCGCCCACTCCTGCCCACACGCTGCAAGTAAGGGGCATCATACCTGAAACATCAAAATCACAAATTATAAGATCCGGCTTGTTAAAAATTGTCGTGTTGCTCAAAAGTAACATACCGTGCACCTCGCGGTCTCCAAACTTGTTTTCCTTGGTGCCAGTCAGTTGAGAAAGAGGACTCGTCGCTGAAAACAACGGTTTTCCAGTCTTGAATCGTCCATGATGTCTTTTCCATGGCAAACCGCAGGCGGATATCTTTTTGTCGAGGAGTTAAAATTGGCTTCTTGCACGCAGCATAGCTCCTAATACCCGCTTCTGCAAGACGGCGTCGCACAAGTTGGTCACTGACATTCAGACCAAGTTCGCCTCGAATGTCACGGGCCGTAATAAAAGGCTGGTCGACTGCAGCCGCGACGATCCATCGATCTTCCTCATCGGTAGTGGACCTTGGGCGGACGTCGTGAGGAGCGTCATGGATGCGGCCGTTGTCGTCTCGAAACACCGTGAAAATTCGGGCCACTGCGGTTCGTGTCCTTCCTGTCATCCGGGCGACTTCTCGTTGGGGCATTCCCGCGCGGCATAGGGCCACAATTCGCCAGCGTTCGTGAATTGGCACTCGCGACGGCATCTTCACGAATGGATACTGATGGCAGTGAACCGACAATTTATAGAAAAATAAATGTGAAGTGAAATGGCACTGTGCTTTTTATTAAAAGAAAAAATATTGCCCTTTTGTTCCTTTTCTTTCATATTTGAGACAAGATAAAAGTATGCACAGGGCGTCAAACAGATCGCGATAAAACCACGCGGCGATTAAATAATAAAAAAAGGCTATCACTCTGCAGAGATTACCCATCGGGGGTTGTGCACAGCGTGGGAACAGCCGATGAGCGCTCGTATCAGCTTTGCACACCTCCGACTCGCGTCACCAGGCAGCCCGTCTTTTATCGGTAGATGGCGCAGCAAGTTATGGAGGCCACGCGTTCCGCTGGCCCATTTCGTTTCGTTGAGCACTGTAGGTCTTCGGTATGGTAGCTTGGACCGCAACTCCACAGAGAGAACGAACCTTCAGCAGCTTGTTCACGGTAGCAGCGTCTGCAACATCTACAAGGAGACCTCCCCGAGCAGTGAAATGATGTCTCACAAGAGGGGCGTCTGCCGCTGTCGCTATTTCTTCGCTTAGTTTGAGCGGATTCTGTTTTTGGAGTCGTTGGTCATCTTTGACTGGGGTCAGTAAAACTGGCACACCAGTTGTTCGCTGACGTCGGTGTGTAACGAGTATGAATCCCTCCAGGTCACTTTTCTCCTCGTCGACGTGCATGGTAGGGTCTGATGTTACTTCAGACGCTCCAATATCCTCATCTTGGTCGTCATCGTCAGGTTCGTCGTCATTTTCTCTTTGAGCGCTTGACCTGATGTTCTCTCTTGGCCTGGCTGGCCGGCTTGATCTTTCGCTAATGCCGTCACCGAAGGGCCTGATTTTGGTCTTCCATCTGATGAAGGCTCTCCATCGGAGTTTTCCATGATGGAAAATCCGGGAGCACCTTGGTAGGACCCAGATTTAAAGGGTCCACGTAGCTGGCGGCCTTCAGGAGTATGATTTGTAGGTCCGGGTATAAAAGAGGCTTACTTCTTTCGTAGCGAAGGAACAGATCAGGCTCTAATCCAGAGGCGTCGGCAATCTTTCAAAAATAATGTGGAACGCAGAAAAAGGATCGACCATCTACAAGGTGCTTCTTCTTCTTTTTCTTATTGGCTGTGATTGTATCGTAAGAGTTGGTGGCCGACTACAATTACGTGACAACAAAGAAGAAGTGAAACATCCGATTATTATACCTGCAGACCACCGATTCACTTTCCTTCTCATCGCTGAAGAGCATCGTCGGCTACTGCACACCGAAGTTCAAGACACGTTGACGCAAATACGTGAAACTTATTGGGTTCTAAAGGGAAGACAAGCCGTAAGGAAGGTCCTACGTCGCTTTATAACTTGCCAAAAGCAAACGTATGCACTAGCATCCGAGCCTGTAGCTCCACGACCAGCGGACCGAGTTTTAAGGTGCGAACCGTTTGAAAAAACAGGGAGCAGGGGTGGATTTCGCTGGGCCACTAATCTGTCGACGTGACTGCGGAAGCTACAAGGTTTACATCGTCCTGTTTACCAGTGCCGTGACACGTGCTGTGCACTTCGAATGGGGGAACGACATAACGACAACAGCCTTTTTATTGGCATTCACACGCTTCGTGGCACGCAGAGGCATCCCGAAAACGATTTATTCCGACAATGCCTCAACGTTCAAAAGAGCAGCCAAAGACATCCAGAGATTGTTTGAGTCGATAGGAGCGGAGGAAGTGCAAACGTATTTTGCAAACCACAGAATTAGATGGAAAACGATCGTAGCGAGAGCTGCCTGGAGGGGCTGGTTTTGGAAGAGACAAGTGAGGGCAGTCAAGGTTTCGCTGCACAAGGTTCTAGGCCGCACTAGTCTGAATTTCGAAGAACTGACAACTGTACTCACAGAGGTAGAAGCAGTAGTCAACTCCCGTCCGGTGACTTTCATTTCCACCGATGCAAACGAACGAGAGGCTCTCACTCCAGCACACTTTCTAATGGGACACAAATTGACCAACCTCCCCTCCCATCAAATTCCAGAAGAAGATCAAGCAAGCCCTGAAAACTTGGCGCGAGGTTGGAAATATCGAAATACCATTATAAATCAATTTTGGAGAAGAAGGGGATCGGAATATTTGCTAGAACTGAGATCAGCCCACATCGCTAAACCCAACAATTCAAATTGTATACAAACCGGTGACCTGGTCCCTCTCAAGGACAATAGACTACCGCGACATATGTGCAAAATCTGCAGGGTCAACGAGACATTCCCAGAAAGGGACGGCAAGGTGCGGTCTTGCAGTATAATTACACCCAGTGGTCGTGAACTTTGCCAGCCGATACAGTTATTATATTCCCTGGAATTGTAAGAATGAGCTTTCGCTCATTTCGGGGGAGTTTGTTGAATGATTATTGCAAAAAGAAGTAGAAGTAACAAGATTGAACTATAGACGATGACAACGAGAACGGAGGGATCGATGGTGACTCCGGCAGAAATCGGAACGAACATGTAAATACTGTACATAAACCCTTCCTTCTGAACGAACTCGCTACATTTAATCCTCTTAACGCAGAAACGTAACAGCCCGTCATGTGCGTAACTCATAAGTGCTCCAGTTGCACGGAACAAGGGGATCAGGCTGCAGGTTCGTTCCTATGGCATGCTCTAATGGCCACTTTGTTCAATATAGTTTTTGAATGGTTACTGGCACCTCCGTTTCGTTTAAACGCTCAGTTATGATTATTCCGCCTGAGGTTCACTCGATCGTTCCTAAAAAGCCGCAATAAAAATGAACTGAGCCTTCGTGTAATCGACGATGCACTGGCACGTACAAAGTTCTACTTTTTTCATACGACAGTGGCAGAAGCTATTGTTGGAAAAGAGCTTATCGATACAATCACTTGTGAATGCGTGTGCGATTTGGCTTTTATTAAAGCGGTTAGTTCGTAAAGCCGCGGCGATGTCATGTCATCAGCGGGGCAAAAGGAAAATATTTGTGGTCCTCGGACATACTTGTACGTGATTCATTAGTTTAATCCCTTACATTTATCATCAATGTTATAACGGGATAGTTACATATTTGCAAGTGTAATCAAAAAGTAATTTCCTCGTAGATTAGATCACGGTTCGTTTGTAAATGTTTGCTATTTTATTAACAAGAAAGCGGGAACGTATAATAAACGAAAAACAGTCGACCATTATCCCCTTTATTGAAATAAGCAAATTTCAAGGGCGGGGGGGGGGGGGGGGGGGGGGATAAAAATACAAATGTTTCATTTCGGCAAAGTTGAACGCAGTACCGTCAAGGTAAGTATTAAAAAAAATATATGGTCAAAGTTCCGGCAAGTTGATCAAGTGCATTTATATCCGCTTTTCTAGTGCGTCAGCATTAGAACGCTCGTTTTGACGAAAACCCGGTGGTCACTTTCGCTTGTCAGTGCTGGAGAAAGAAGGAGAAGGAGGGGTAGAAAGTGACGCTTGCGACGCTCCCATTGTTCGAAGCGCTGACGTTAGCACGCGGCAACCTCTCCCTCTCTCCCCGGCGCTGACAAACTGACAGACACCGCCGGGTTTTCGTCAAAACGACCGTTTTCGTTTTTGTCAAAGGAGCGTCGCAGGCGCGGAGGCACCTCGGCGCGGTGGAATGCGGTCCTGCTCAGTTGCCGCCCTGCCTTCGCCGGATGTTCTTCGCTCTGGATTTTCGTATTAGCGGTGCGTGGGCTGCGATGTGTGTGTGTAGTTAAAATGATGGATGTGGTTCCCTCCACGAGTGACATGAATGGGGTTCCTTCCACGAGTGATATGGATGACCGTTTCCAAGGGCGTCTACGTAATCGAAGATAGGCGTCGAAAAAAGACAAGGATAAAAAGAGACGTAAACACTGACTTCGATCATGAACCCACTGGCCCAAATTGCCATCTTAAGGCATCGACGTACTCTGACAGGCAAAGTACAAAAACGGATTGAAAGCAAATTACAGAGATCCATTGGTGGATTCTCAGGGAATGCGTTAGCATGACCTTTGGGAAACGCCACACACGCCCCCTTCGGTAAACGCTAATTCTGACGCCATAACAAGGCCAAAAAGAGACAGAAAAAACTAGAGGAAGCAAGAAAAATAAAGCAAATATAAATCAGCAGAAAGGTTAAGGTACCTCATGGCATTACAGCGCTCGGCTCCAAACAAACCGTTCATAGGGCCGTTGCTAGGAAGAGGTGCATAGGGGCTCGATGTGAGACTGGAAATTGCCCGATAAAAAAGTAAATTTTTTTTGTAAGCCTTGTGACTTCTCAATATATAACCATGAAGACTTGTTTTATCGCCTCAGAACCATAGAGCGATGCTAAATGCCCGTAATAAAGTTTCAGAACCGGTTTTGCCTTGCTAGCAGACGACGCAATGGCTTAGCGGGCTCGCTGTTTCTTTCTGAGGGAGCAGACGACCGCGTTGAATGTGGTTGGTGACGATCAACGAAACTCCTATTCTCACGGTCAACTTTCCGCGGGATTTCGGAAGCGAAGAGTGCCCATGCACAGCTTTGATCGACGCCCAAGGTGGGTGAGCGCGCGAACGCCTTTCCGTGGGGCTCGCCTCCGCAATATTTGAGAAGGTGAAAACTCCGTGAAGCCTAATAACGTAAGACAGACAACGTGAAGTGTATCAAGGTCGAAGTGCAGTCCAGCACATGTTTCAAGGATTTCTGACCGCAATATTTGAGAAGGTGAAAACTCCGTGAAGCCTAATAACGTAAACAGACAACGTGAAGTGTATCAAGGTCGAAGTGCAGTCCAGCACATGTTTCAAGGATTTCTGACAGCACAGTTACTTCAGTGCACATCTGTGTGATCAAACTAACTGTCTGTAACCGATTATATATATATATATATATATATATAGGGTGTTTTGTTTTTTTAGCTGCACCAAATTTTCAAAAGAAGGGAACGTGAGATACAGTAATTTGAGCCCTGGGGAAGTGTTCGCAGCCATGGCGGCCTCTAGAAAAAAGGTGAAATTAGGTCATTAGTTGGCTAATTAACTAAAATGTTTTAATTAACTCTTTAATTTTTCACTTGAGGGCACCTAATGCATTTACCGGATTGAAGATCGGCCACAGTATGCTCTAGCCGTGTCGTCCAATTCGGATAAAAAATATTCCCAGTAGGCGCTACGGGGTCGAGAAATGTCACTTTGTTAAATGGCGTAAAACCGAAACTAGACAGGAAACAGCGCCGGTAAAGTTATCGCTCCACTTTTCCGGGCATGCGATTCGTCATTATCGAGGCCGGTTCCACTTGCTTAGGAGAGCCGGCCGCGATAATGACGAATCGCGTGCCCGGAACGGCAGAGCGATAACTTTATCGGCGCTCTCTCCTGTTTAGTTTTGGTTTGACGCCATTTGCCAAAGTGACATTTCTCGACCTCGTAGGGCGTACTAGGAATTTTTTTATCCATATTTGACGACATGGCTAGACCATACTGTCACGGGTGGTGACCAAAAAAACAATAAATAAACAGGAAGAAATAAACGTTTAATGTGGCGAACTTGTGCCAAAAATAAAAGAGTACAAACGATAATACCAGAGCGTCGCGGGCGTCGAAGGCGGCAAAACAACACGATCGAACGCTGAGGCGAAACTGACTGTGGCTCGCCACGTGGAGCCCCTTATGTACATGCGTGGGCTTCTGGGATAATCGGCATAGGAAGTTCGACGCGTAGAACATTCGGACCTCGAACAAGCAACATGATTCTCGAATTTACCAGAATACTAGTGTGCAGGAATAAACAAAAAGATGCGCCGCTCCCAGGAATCGAACTCTGGCTTTTCGCGTGGGAGCCAGATACGATAACTGTTAGGCCACGCGCGCGCTGCCTACTTGGCCAGCTGCGCGCGCGGCAATACTGTGGCCGATCTTCAATCCTCTAAATGCATTATATGCCCTCAAGTGAAAAATTAAAAAGTTAATTAAAACATTTTAGTTAATTAGCTTACAAATTACCAAATTTTACCTTTTTTCTAGAGGCCGCCGTGGCCACTAACACTTCCCCAGGGCTCAAATTACTCTATCTCACGTTCCCTTTTTTGAAAATTTGGTGCAGCCAAAAAAAACACCCTATATATATATATATATATATATATATATATATAAACGAAATTGTGCAAATGAATGAACCGTACTTAATCCAATGAATTAAAGAATCCAAGTTTCCAGGAACCCGCCGAAAGCCAAAAAACGGCGGAGCCAGGATTTTTTGGCTTTCGGCGGGTTCCTGGAAACTTGGATTCTTTAACTCATTGGATTAAGTACGGTTCATTCATCTGCACAATTTCGTTTATATCCTCCTCGGAGACCACGTACGATGGTGTGAAGTGCCCGTGTTGTGTGTATATATATATATTGTCGCAGATGGAAACGGATCGACAAGAGTAAAACAAAAAATAAAAATTTAATTGGCGAACGTCTTCCTCGAAACAAAAGGATGTGGGTCGACGGCGGCAGTAGTGAGCGACGATGCGTCGGTGTGACAGCTGGCTGTGAGTCGAGAAAGCTGCGCTCGACTCGCTCCAGGAGCTAGGGGCGAAGAGAAGATCGTCGATTGATGAACGACGTGAAGTGGAATCAATAGAAGACAAGAATAACCATGCATCGCCTAAAACAATCTTGTCTGAAAGTATGGCAATGGAACTGCAGGGGGATGGGTCAGAAGCAGGCCAGTCTCAGTCTTCGGCTGTCACTTGAAACCGATCCCCCTCCGGTAATACTTCTGCAGGAGCCTGGAAAGAAGCCCGTAAAGATTAAGGACTACCGGACGGTAGGCGGAACCCAATACTTCACGACCCTCGTCCACAGGACCTTCGCGGCCACGGAGAGGGACCTGGGCCGGTTTTCTCGAAGCGATGGTAAACCCATTTTGGTAAACCACGGTGCCTAGGAAGGGAAAAGTACCTAGGTACTGTAATAAACGGCTTGATATAGAACAACAAAAATTATTTTTGATTGGGCAATAAGGTGTGCCATCTATCGGTGAAACAAGCCAGTCATTTTGTTTATCCTTTTTTTCCGCTGGTTGTCATCGATCTAGTATGGTATTTTAAGTCAAAATATAGTAATATTGTACTTGAAGACCAATTTATTTGCTTCCGATGGTACGAAGAAATTTTAGCTACTATGCTAGAGTTTGTCGACGAATATTTGAAAATGTAAGAAACATTTCCTTCAATGTGTTTCGCCATAAGCAACGCATAACTTTCCCGTGTTTCTTCCAGTCTGGCAACGCCGGTGCTGTAGTCTCGTTTTCGTTCCTTGCGACGCACATTTCTGCGATTCCTGCTGATCTCAACTGTTTGCCCTCTCTTCTGTTTGCCCA